CTAGAATAGAGCATCATTAATAAAAGTCATGCACAAATAGAAATAAAAATGAATGATTGGCACTAAACTTTCACAACCCGCATCTTAGTGAATTTCCATTATCGACATGATAATAAAGTATGAAATTTCATATTTATTCAAAATTCATAAAAACCATGGGATGTGAATAATTAAAGGTGATTTTATTTTTATTTTTATTCATTTCTTGATATTTTTTATTTTTATTCATTTCTTGATATTTTTTATTCTTATTTTACTCTAAAAAATAATATACGCAAATTATATATTACTTACACAACAAAATTATTGGCTTTCGTTCAGACATATTTGCAATTGTTATATATCAATATATCTATATGGTGAGCAGTTTTGAATATACTTTAGTGTCAAGAGATGATTTTAACGTATGAACGAATATAGTGGAAATGCAGAAATGGGTTAAAGCTAATGATCCAAAAATCGTTAGTTAAAAAATAATTAAAGACAAATAAAAATAAATCCTCCTTCTCTGATCTTCACAATTTACTATCAATGTTCATAAATTCATAAGTATTTTTCAATCTGAAATTCATTAGATAATCCAACTATTTTTATAAATGTAAAAAAATTTTTTAGACAATATCAAATAATCATATTGATTAGTCAGATTTTGTCGCAATTTGGCCAACTTTCACTTAATTGTTGTCGATTTCATATTACTAAGAGTCACCTGGAGGTCAACTTTTATATCAGCAAATCAGAACAATTATTGTCTAAAACTTGTTATTGTAAATAATATATGAGAATGTAGTTATTAATTTTAATAAGCTGGCAGGAAGTAGAGTAAGCCGACAAGTTGATCGTTGTTTTTTAAAAAAAATGACTTAATTATTATTAATAAAAATATGATGAATTATCATTACATAGCAATATTTAAGATTGTAGAACTCTGAGGGTGTTCTCAACTGCCTCAATCATTGAGTCAAAATGTGTTAAAAAGATTTTAGGAATTAAATTTTAATTAGCGAAAAATGTTATTTATTAATCGAATGCTGAAATGAGTTTGTTATCAAGATAAATATTAAATATGTAAATTTAATATTTAATCTAAATTTCATTTCTATTTATTTTTTAAAAAGTTTATACCTATTGCAAAATAATCTATAGTCAGACCTCTCTAAGTGCACGACCTTGGGACTACACTTTAGCAACATGTATTTAGAGAATAATAAAAAAAAGTACATTTATAATATATAAGTTGTGTGGTCTGCCAGGATGGCAGTTATAAATAAAAATAAGTTTATAGGATTCGTTATATTTGTACAATATTCTAAAAAATATTAAATACAGTACGAAATATCTACAGTCCATTAACAACCCTGAACTTGCTAGATAATAATAGGATATAGAAAAAGGATTAATACATAGCTTGTCTTAGAAATTACAATGCAAAGTCACTAGATATGAGAGCTTCAAGCTTAAAACGTAAAAGAGCAATACGGACAATTAAAAATTCTTTATAATTTTGGTTAATTTGTTTTATGCAAAAAGCCACTAGTTAATATTGTGCATTACTAAAGCATTAAGTTCATTTTTTTTTTTTTAACTTTAAATTTGCTCATAAATAGCCATTTACCTTTTTTATTATTTCATTTTTTCTTTTAGTATTTTATTAACGTTATTTATATTTATCAAAAATAGAGTTTTGCCGGAAACAGATACGATCTGTATATAACATTGTGATTTACGATTCCATGATTCTTACGTATATTAGTTAGCATAATCTAGATCTTTTTATGGACATCTTCAGAATCACTTGATGAATTGTGCATTTATATTTTAGAGTTCCACATATTTAATACATAGCAAAATACGAATGGTATGTACGGGACCAAAGTTTTGATATCTTGCATTTAGAAAAATTGATTTATCGAGTCTAGTATATATTTGGGCCAGATTCAAATATTGCATTTAGAGAAGTCTAACTGTACTGTATTGCAGATAGCACTATAGCAATATAGCGTAATATTTTTTAATGATATTTATATAGTGCACATAATTTAAACTATTAATAATATATTGCTAAAAAAAAATATGTGCGCTCACCGCACATTACTTTCAAAAAATTATGTGCGCTTTGCGCACAGTTTAATATTCTTCTTTGTGTGCAAAAAAATTTTTACGTGCAAAGCGCACATGCGCACATCGAATTTTTCTCATTGCCTAGGAGCACTAATTGAACCATCTGCTCTGGCCGTTTTGATCTTTATCATTGAATTATTTATTCTGATGGTGTTTATTGTTATACATTGTAACCAGTATAAAATTGCGATACTTATTTCTTGATTATTTATCTGAAAATATTTATTCTGGGAATATCATTATTCATTATACAGTAAATCAGATTTTTTTTGCTGTTTTAACTCTTTAAATACATTATCAGTTTTTGAATTTTGCTACCTAAACAAATTTAATAAATCAATTCTTGGTTTTGTCATCAAATTGGAATTGGAGTTGAAAGAGATATGAATATAACACGCATTCGTGTTCAAACATATAAAAATAATAGAACCTCTATAAAAACAAATCACTATATCAGACAACTATATAAATATGTAACATGAAATGTGAGAAGGATGATTTGAATAATGTCGCTTATGCTGACTATCGTATTATTATTGTTCGTCATAGAACCTGTTCGTTCTGAGTGAACGCACAGTTTCCATGACAAACAATTGTCACAATACTCGAATTATTTGTAATACTTTATGGGATATGGTCGTCAAGTAAGTTACTATCACAGCTATTGCTGTTTTTTTTTTTTGACTTTCGAGTGCGTTGGACATGAATGTTGAGCAGCGAAAACAAAAACAAAGAACCCCAAAAATAATCGAATCACTTAAATTTTCTTACAGATAGAACTTACACCATGCTTACAATCATTATGGCCCCTGCATAGTCAGTGAGTATCACTTTGTGATGAACAACACAACTCCTTTTTATTTATAACGAATCCTATAGGAAATCAAAATGCTCAAATGCATATTAAATTATTCTTCATTTTTAAAACAGCCAAAGGTAAAACACATTACTTGTAAACCTTTTTTTTAAGAAATGATGCATCCACCGGTGACACGATTTTTGAATTCCCTAATATTTTGTTATTCACCATGAAGTCAAGCAAGAATAATTTGAATTCGTAAAAAATTTGAATAGCTTCTAATTAAATTCCCAAAGTCCATAACGCTATTTAATCGTTGATAATATTTGTTACCGTAAATACTTGCAATAAGTACTTAGTTGTTTTCATCTATATACAGCAAGTATAAAGTGTATAAAGTTAATCTTATAATTTTATTGATTAATAAATATAATAATGGATACTATACCATCGTGTTTTTCTGGTTTATTCTTTATAGTTTTTTTTTCTTTTTTGACTTGTCTCTGCGGTGATGTCGAAATATCAAAAGTCAGCTTTATTTGATGACTGCTGTTTGTACAACTTATTGTAAATATTAAAGTTCTTATCAGGAAGGATCTAAAATAGAAAAAAAAAATTTTAAATAATAGATTAAATCTTAACAATATTCCGAAATATTGATTGTACTTACACGAATTTTAATAAGTGTGATAATATTATCACGCAAAAGTTGACTATTGTACATTTGAACCCTTGGAGGTAAGGTACAACCAGCGATTTGTTGAAAAATATAAAGTTCTTTACCTGCGAGATTAAGAGTAAAGACTTTGATCTCTAGCGCTAAAAATTAACAATTAATAAATTTAAAATCTATGCATGAATACACCTAAACTTATGAATTAATACCTGATGTAACCACGGCAATGACCTTAAAATTCTCGAAATCTTTAACAGATTGTGAGCCACAAAATGTTAGATTATTGTGTATGCGACGAATCATATCATGTAGCATAGTACACGATTTAGCGGTGTCACCTAATTCCTTTTTTTTGTCATTTAATGACAATAATTTTCCATGTTTAACGATCAAAAACTCCACGTCAAATTCTAAGTTAGTAACCGTTATATCAGGTATTAGTGCACGTAACAAGTTATCTGAAAGCGTCTTAAACCGATTTCTCCGTTCTTTATTGGCGAATAATTCCCTAAAATAAATATAAAATTGTTTATTTTGAAGGTTCTATTTACTTTTCAAAACAGCACATAAACTTACTTCTGGGCTTCTACGGCATAGTTCTTGTCATAAAATAAATTAAAAAAACGTTTCAAACATTAACGCGCTACTTATATGTCCTTCTGTATGGTTAAAATCCCAATAACGGGACTCTAAACCAAAAAACCGCCATCTATAATAAATGAAAATAATTACTAAAAAAAAATTATAATTGATTCAAAAAAAAGTATAATTACGTTTTTTCAAATAAATTTCTTATGAAATTTAATATTGAAGCATCAAAGTCATTGGAAAATAATTCATCGTTGTTATGCCATGATTTAATAACACGTTCGGCTTCCTTTATATCCGATATGTCGCTTATTTCGTTGATCCTTTTGGATATTCTTTCACTAATTTCAGACGATGGTACTAAATCATCCAAGTTTTGTTGGTATTTTTTTAAGATCAGATTATATGGATAGTTTTCATATAATCGATCGTTAGTACAAAGGACACCTATTTTAATGACATCACTAAAGAAAAATACCGGCATTGTTAGTATTTAATTAGATATGTTGCTTTACAATTAACTTAAAACTAACAATGTCATGCATAGGATTGATTTTCGAACATGTGATGTTCGGAGCTAAAATTAACCTATGATCCGATGTAGCGTAAAAAACTTCAAAACAACTGCTCTTTTCGAAGAAATTGAGAATTTAATCTAATTAACCACCTATGCTCTAAGTAAAAAAAATTTTCTTGCATGTTCTTCTATTAGAACAGCCTTTCTAATTAAAAAATGAATTTCAATCAAGCCTAAACCTTAGTAAACAACATTTTGGGTTTTCCAGAGTTATCACATGTTTAGATCAATCCTAAGCCCGTCAATCTGAAAACCTACTTACGATGCATTGGCGTTTTCATATATTGGAAGCATTAACTCCTGGATTGTTGCCCCATTTTCAAGAATCGTATCATCCTTATTAAAAGAAATATACATAAAGT